GGAGGATTGGTAATGTATGGAAAATTCAGACTACACAGAAGAGAGCAACATCCTGCACTCACATGGAAGGCACACAGGACATCCTAGTCTAACATTTGCAGGATCAGAGTCTGGGAAACGGAGAACGGAGCATGAGCAGCATCAGAAGGAATAATGACCGCTTTCTGAAACCGACGGAAGGCAAACTTCTGCATACACCAGACATGCCTTGGAAACCTTGCAGGGTCCTCATGAGCCAGCACCACCTGGAGTCACAGTTGGAAATCGGAGGCAGAGGGAAAGCATTAAAGCAGGCAGATTTACAAGGTGCTTTAGACTCAAAGTTGCAAAACTATCACTGACAGTTGCTTCTTCAACAGAAATTATGGAATCCAGAAAACAAGGAATTAATTACCATCTTTAAAGTGCTAAATAAAAAGCCTAATTGCCAACCTAGAATTCCATTACTGCCATTACTCGTAGACAACTAGAATGTAATGTAAAAAAGTCCAAAAGAGTCTTACAGATAAACTCTCAGACTATAAAGTGACTATAGCAAAGCCACTAGATACAAGATAAATACATAAAGTGTCGATTTCATTTCTGTCTATAATTAATACCAAATAGAAAATTTAAAATAAATCAAAGATATCACCTATAATAAAGCACCAAATGTCCACATGAAAAACACATGTTAAGTCAGGTGTGGTAGGGCAAGCCTGTAATACCGGCACATGGGAGGTAGAGGCTGGAGGATCAGGGGTTCGAGGCCTTCCTCAGCTATATAGTGAGTTCAAGAGTAGCCTGGGCAGCTTGAGGCTTTGTCTCAAGAAACAAAAGAAAAAACTATGTATCAGATGCTAATGAACACACACACATACACACTCACACACATAAACACTCACACACATACATACTCTCACACACACACAAACATACACACTCACACACATACATACTCTCACATACACACACAAACATACACACTCACACACATACATACTCTCACATACACACACAAACATACACACACATACACACATTCACACATATACACACTCACACACAAGCATACACACTCACACACATACATACTCTGACACACACACAAACATATACACTCACACATACACTCACTCACACACATACACACACACACACACACACACACACACACTCAGTCACTTGACATCTGGGTTACTGTTTAGTGGTTTTTAAATTGTAAGCTTGGATTAAAATATTTGTAAGGCCTCTGGCAGTTTGAATTCTGCAGTTATCTCCCCTACCTTCACATAGTCAACACATCCAAGCAGGGTATTCACCAGGAACCAGGCACTATGCTAATGTGACTAACAAATACAGATGGAAAGTACTTGCTAAATGAGTGATGGAAAGAAGGAATAGGATGTGAGACCCAGTCACGCCTACAGGGAGCTCCCAGTCTGGTGGCCCCGGGCCCTGCACCAGGAGCAGATGTCTGTATGGAGAGGCCTGGGTACGGGAGAAGGTGTGGAGGAGCACTCCCAGACTGGATTTCTCAGAGGAAGGGTGACATGATTGCTTTCCTAGGGGACAACAGAATTAGCCAGGCCCAAGCGGAGGTGCAGGGTGGCGGGGTGACCAGGGCAGAGTGCTAAAAGGCCCGTCCCCCCATTTGTTCCATCTTGCAGCACTGAAATGTTGGCTGTAGAGAAAGCCAACACTGGTTCTCCTTTCTCTCCACTTGCCGGGATAATAACAATGGAGTTCTGGCACCCAGAGCATTCTGGGAAAGCGGAACAGCCCTCGGATCCGGCCAGGACCGATGCCCTCCCTACATGCCAGGAAGGCTTGGCAGTCAGAGCTCCAGAGCATCCTCGGCCGTCTACAGCTTCTCTTCTGCCTCTGACAGCTGTTCTTACCTTCCTCCCATCATGGACACACCCAGGTGTCTGTAACCCCCCACAATGCACCTGGGCTCACCGCAGCTCGGAACCAACCATACTAAGACCTCTTTCTCAGGCATGTTGGATCCTAACCCATGTGTGCATGTATGTGCCTGGCCATGGACTTAGGTATTCCTGCACAGGTGGTGCCGGAGGGCAGGTTCGGCTTCCTCCCCTTGCTCATCCACCTTGTTGTCGTGAGACGGCCTCTCGTTGGCCCCGGCCTACCTGGTAGCAGGCTAAGTGGACTGGCCAGCAAAACCCAGACATCTCTGCCTCCCCAGCACCAGCGCCACGGCCCCCACTGCTGCCTTGCTTGTTTTGATTTTCCTGTATGTTCTAGGGATGGAACTCACGTCCTCCGGCTTTTAGGCATCTCTCTAGCCTTGGATCTCAATTTCCTGTTCACCCTTAGGACAAAGGGCCAGCCTTGGCCTACGGGAAGGTCAGCGGGCAGTAGAGGAGCCGGTCCAATCCTTTCCTTATGTTCTCGTCCATCCCCTGTGAGGTCCCACCCTTCGAGACTTAAGCAGTATGAAAAGGAGATGAGGAAGTAAGGCTGGGGACTTTGGATAACACAACTGTGAGTGTATTTCCTAAACCACCAAGCCATGATGAGAATTTGCTCATTTCTGTACTCAACATAAGGCTTC